CTCCAGAGCAGAATTTTAGCCTTTTGCTAAATTCAATCTTGCATTGCTATATAAATCTATAAATCAAATCATTAACAATCAAGTTATAACTAAAGTTAACCCAGACAGCAAGCTTACATTAGCCCAACGTAAGTTTTAAAATTGGCAAGTTTATTCCGTTGGGCCAACATTTAGCCAATGTTTTTTTTTCAGCGTATTATATAAAATTCTTCAAATCGGTTTTTTGCAAATATTGTACTATATTAAGCCAACATTTAGCCAATGTTTTTTTTTCGGCGTATTATTGCAATTCTACAAATCGGTTTTTTGAAATTAGCGTACTACGTTGGGCCAACATTTGGCCAATGTAGTTTAGGCTTGATATTTTGCTAAAAAAATCTGTTCTTACATTTATACCGTAGCCAATATTCGGCCAATATAGTTGCGGCTTAGTATATACTTTTAAAATTGTCAGGGTTCAATATGTTCAATGACGTTGAAGTAACGTTGTTTCAACGTTATTTCAACGTCATTGTGCCTGCTGGGATTGGTCTTAAAAGAAAATGTCTGGCAATATAAGAAAGCTCTACATAAGTAGAATATAAATTCTAGTAACATCACTTTTTTTAAACTGTTTTAATATGTTAGTAGATGGGGTTTCAGAATCAAACACAGAAAATATCAAACAAAAAAGACATACTTAAAATGTAACATATCAGCTTTTAACAACTTCAATGCCACATATATATTAATGATACCTTTCATAATATATCTAATAATAGCTATATAATCCAAACTATTACAAATAAATTAAGAATTTTTTTTTTTTTTTTTAATAATTAAACTGTCATACAGTTTAATTATTTGATATATTTAATAAGGAAGACATTTAAAACAAATCGAACATTTGAAATAACACATTTGTTTAATAAAGATTACCAAGTTAGCACAAAAACGTTTAAAAGACGTTTTAAAGATGTCTTTAAGGAGGTCTAAAAGGCGCACTTGTAGACGTCTAGATCATAAGGCTAAAAGACGTCTAAATGATGACGTCTTTATAAAAACGCGTTTTAGACGTATTTAAGACGTTTTTTTCAAGTTAAATTTAAGTACATGACGTAACACTTTTGCGTAGTATGTGGTATATATTCATTGTATTTATAACATCATATTTTGTTTTAATTTCGTTTATACCAAATATACATATGAACCAGCAATCAAAATAATATTGCTGTAATCACCACCAACGGTTGATGCATCATAGATGAAAGTAATAAAAAGCAATAACAAATATATATATCAAAACAGTGTTTAAAACATTAGTAACTTAATTTTTGTTTTAGTAGCATTAAACTTATTTGTTAATGGCTAATTTTTGAGCGAATACTTGAATTATTATATGGCTTGTGGGTGTATAAAAACTAAAAATACTGATATTTAACTTATATATTATTCTTGCCATTTTCACTTATTATCATGATCAGTCAACTATCTATTAAAAAAGCAAAATAATTATTAATAAAAAAAAGATATATTAATATTATAGCAATTATTTTAGTGATTCCTGTGACAACAATTTTAGCAATTGTGTAAAAAAGTAATTTAATTTAAAGTAATTTACACTTAAAACTTGAACAAATTATTGAAAATAATAAAAACTATGTTTTTACTTTGAATATGCGACATCTTCTTAACGCGTAATGACAAAGCCGTCAAAAAGAAGTCATAATGACATATTTATAAACAGGTCACAGAAAAGACGTCTTTTAGCCTTGATCTAGACGTCTTTTAATGCGTCTTTTAGACTATTTATTATGCGTCTTTTAAACGTCTTTTTAAACTTTAAAAAGACGCATTTTAAACGTCATTTTAAAGTCGCATTTATTAAAGACGTCTAGAAAATGTCTTTAAAACGTCTATAAAAGTGCGTCTTTACCTAGACTAGTTTTAGACGTCTATAAGTGTCTAAAATGCGTCTTGTGCTTACTGGGTATTAAATAAATCAAACATTTGAAATGCCAATACAATATTATAAGAAGAATAAAAAATAATAAGTATAAAAAAAAACTTTAGGATCTTACACAAAAATAATTTATTTATTGTCTTTGTTATTACATTATTAATTTAGAATGTAGTAAAAAATGTTTTACGCATATTATTTAAATGTTAACAAATATTTCATTATTTAAAAAAACAAAACGATGAGTCACGAGAATCTCTTAAAATTTATTTTTTATAGGGAACCTTTTAAGATTTTTCGATGATTCTTAAACATAGCTTTTTTTTTATTATTTTTATAATTTAAAAAAATAGAGAGATAATATCAAAGCATTTTTTTATTCTGTCAAACGATATCATTTTTAAAAATGTTTTGCATCACATTTAAAAATATATACTAACCTGCAACTACATCGGCCGAATATTGGCTACGGCATAAATGTTAGAACAGCTTTTTATAGCAAAATACTAGACCTAAACTACATTAGGCAAAGGTTGGGCCAACGTTGTACGATAATTACAAAAAAACGATTTGTAGAATTACAATATTACGCCAAAAAAATAAAACATTGACTAAATGTTGGCCCAATATAGTACGATATTTACAAATAACCGATTTGCAGATTTAAAAATAATACGTCGAAAAAAAACATTGGTTAAATGTTGGCCAAACGGAACAAAGTTGCCAATGTTAAAACTTACGTTGGGCCAATGTAAGCTTGCGTTCTGGGATATATATATATATATATATATATATATATATATATATATATATATATATATATATATATATATATATATATATATATATATATAATCAATAAAATCACTATATGATGTATTATTATTATATCTTATATAATATGTTTATATATTAATATTATATATACATATTTTATGTGATATATATATATATATATATACATATATATATATATATATATATATATATATATATATATATATATATATATATATATATATATATATATATATATATATATATATATATATATATATATATATATATATATATATATATATATTCCTAGATAAACCTAAAGGTGACTATTTGCGGTAAAAATACCACACTTAAGGCGACTTTTTTGTTAAGGTGACATTTTTCGGTCACCTTAACGTTTCTTAACCAGATTCTACATTCGTTATATAGATTTATAAAGATTACAATTAATCATGCTAAATGGTAATGCTAAAACAGTTGTCATTTAAATTTTCTCTTAAAAAGAATGTTTTTTTCTCAAGTTATGAGCCATGTAAATTTGGGGTTGTATATCATGAAAAATTTTACATGCAAATAAAAGCTGCGTTACGGCTACACTCTCCTTTGTGCTAGTTTTTTAATGTCTAAACGGGTATGTATTTGAGTTATTAGTATTTCTATTAACAACTTAAAACTTAAGCTTCTTTAATACCCAAAAATAGTTAATTTTAGATTAGAAACTAAGTCAGAGGTTCGTTTGAAAAAAATATACATGTTCAAAAAGCGTCAAAAACTTGCGTTTATGCCATAGTCAAATCACAGCGGAATTTGTATCTAAGTGCGCTATCACGTGACCGATCAAATAAAAGATAAAATCTATTGTAAGTATAAATGCTTAATATAAATTTATAGTTTTATTATTCATATTTACCATTTATACTGTAATCGATTCAATGTACACGAAACTTATATTAGTAATATATTGTGTCTGACATTTCATGTAAAGCACATCTTGTTACGATTCAAACTATATTTATAGTTACTTTATTTATATAAATAAGGTTGAATTTTGTACATAAGACATTATTTATATACTCTATAGTATATGATTAAAAAAATAATTAAAAAAGGTATAAATGGTAGTTACATGAGTTTTTTTAGCCGTTAACCTTCACTTTTTTACATGCTACTCAGACCACATGATGTGGTACATATGTACCACAAGAATTGTACAATGTACCACAATGTACATTGTATATAATAACTTTTTTTCTCAACTAGTATAAATCAAATATGCTATCAACTTTATGATTATGTAATATTGAATTTTATTTGTTTATATATCTTTTTTTTAGACACTTTAATGTGTGCACTAATATGCAGTGTTTAAATTTTAATGTTTGCAAAAAAATTTAAAGTTTGTATTTATATTTTAATTAATCAAAGTCAATATTATTGTTTATTGAGTTTTAAATCAAAGCTCTATAAGTTGTTTATAACTTTTTTATAATTTGAGTATATTGTTTATTATTTTATTATTGTTAAGCTATTTTGGTTATTTCACAAAATTTTAGTTTGATTGAGTGTCAAATAATTGAGAAAAAAAAAAGTATTTAAATATTATTTGTTTAATTTATTCATTAATCTTAAAGTAAATAAATCCTTTAATCTAGTGTGTAAAAGAGAAAAATGTCACCCAGAAAATCTTGCAAAGTTCTATATTCAAAGAAAAATTGATCAAAAAGGATTTCTCAAAGTTAAAATTAATGACACAGATAGATAAAAAAAGTTTTAAAATCATGTTTTCATCCTTGTCTAAAATTGACTTTTATTATGGTACTTAATCTTTTTAAATAATACTTGAACAAAATTTGTTGAATAATGCTATATTTATATTAATACATCATAAATAATTCATTTAATAAAATGTGCACCATTCATTATATGTGTTATAGGTATATAGTATATTATAAGCAGTAAATCGTTAAACCTTGAGGATTTCTTAGTTGGGTTATAAACTTGTTTTAAAAGTTAATTTTTAATTGTTAATTTTTTTACATTTACAGAGAATGTAATAATTGTATGTTTTTTTGTAATTCATCAAAAGTTTTGTTTAATGTTACTGTCAGTAACATTACATATGAACATCTACTATTTATTTAGTCATTTTTCTTTTTCATATTTTTTTATAAATCAATATATTGTTTTTTTTTCTGGTTGAATAAAGATCATTATATCTTTAAAAAACTCAAAACTTTCCTTGAAAAGTCTTGAAAATATCCTGAAATTTTGAAATAGCTATTGGCTAGCAACCCTGTCTCATGTGTATAAATATTTTTGTATCTGTATTAATTAGGTGATGTTATTAGTTTAAATGAGGCAAAATTGAGGTCCCAACAATATGAGAATGAAGGATTGGGTTGTTTTATTTATAATGGGATCAAAGATATTTATGGTAAATCTGTTTGGTAAGTTGAATATTTTTTCATTTTTTATTATTTTGTTCTTTTTAAACCTTTATGGTTTGTATGGCTCTTAAATTTGTATGGTTTTTATGGCTTTTTTAGAATTTTTTACATACTTAAGAAAGTATAAATACAAAAATAAACATTGATTATGAAATTTAAATTTACTCATGAAAATTATGAAACAAAATTTACTATATTATTGTTTTTTATTCTTCTTTTTTTTTTTAAGCATTGATGCTACAAACCAACTAAGTTTCATGGGATGCATGGTAAACGACTCACCTTCAATATATGCTAATGCAAAAATGAAAAGAATATTTGAGTCTAATCATGTTAGTCTTTGTCTTTTCGCTACAAAAACAATAGATGTTGGCACTGAATTAAGGTATATTTTATATTTTAAAATATCATTCCATTTACGTTTCAGCTTACAATACATGGTTTACATGGTTGTTGTTTTTTTTTGAGGTAAAAATTAGTTTTTAGTAAATTCTTAATCTGTTTGTCATAAAATTATACTATGAAATTACTTTATAATAATTCATTAGGAAATTTGTGAATAAATAAAAGAGATGTAATGTCTCAAAAAGAACATCAGCTTTAAATTATAATTTTTCCTATTATCTGGTGTCCAGGATGATGCTGTATAAAATAATAATCTTTAATTAAGAGCACAAAAAACTGGTTTGAGACTAAGAAATATATGTGAAAATAACAACAGATAAAAATGATTTCCTATCTGCATACTAGATTTATAAAAAAAAACTGAATAGAACTAAAAAAAAACCATAAAAAATGTAAAATGTCAAAGTGCAATAACTCATTTAGCTTGGGCAAGTGTATAAATAAACTTTGAGAAATGATTTTTGTGATTAATTAAGAAATGATTATCGTGAATGTCTTTTTTTATCACTATCATTGTTACTGCCATCATTACCATCATCTTTTTAATGTTATAATTTTATTGTTTGCATTTTGATTGATTGTTTTCCATAATACTTCATCTCCAATATTTACTTTTTTTTTTTTTTTTAATTTTTTATTTTAGGACTAATTGTTATTTGCTCTTGATTTAAAATATCTGTTGTAACACATGTAGTTTGTACAAAAAGATGTAACAAACAAAGTTTTGATTTTAGAAGAAATAATTTTGATATTTTTAGATACGATTATGGTGATGAAAGAAAAAAAATGTTTTGGCAGACTATGGTGTGTTTTATTTATGTTAATATTTATTTTATAGTTTATTATTATTTGTTTATTAATTATTATCATAACTCTATCAAGTTTTCTAAATTTTATTTAAAAAAATGATTTTATCTTTAAAAAGTTTTAACTTTTGGTTTATTACTAGTATTTTTTGTTCAACATAAGAAGTTCAAGCTAATACATTTTGTTCTTGTTACTTTTACCTAAAATATTAAAACATTGTTTAAGGTTTTCAGGTTTTACAAAAGTAGTGTGAGGAGAGGGGGAGTGTGAAATCTAAAAATGAATATTTTTTTTTTTTTTTTTTTTTTTTTTTTTTGTCTTTTATCAAAGCTTTACAAATACGTGATCATAAATATAAACTAGTTCGTTTACATTGTATAAAAAAAAATACCGTACATATAATAAGAAAACTTTTTTTAATACAAATAATAATATATATAAAAAAGTAACACTGTTAAAAGACGCGGGAAACTTGCAGAAGACCATTTTGGTCTTGTCATCAAGAAACCGCTTTTAGTTGCGATATTTTGTATACTTATTTTATTAAGAAATTTCAGTTTGTCAAAGTCTCATGGTGGCATAAGAGTCACACTAAAAAGGTACTAGATAATCAAAAACAAAAAACGGAAAAGAGCTGTATTTGATACACATAAATATATAGTTACATGGTTTGTTATACTTAGTATATTGACATGTACGAAATATAAATAAAATCTAACATTTACTTTGCTTTAAAGTGGATTTTTTAGGGGTTTTTAGTTATTTGTTTTAATATACGTTTGTAAAATTGTTTAAGTTTAGAACAAGTTTTTTTAAAAGTGTTTTCAGAGAATTATGGTTAAGTAGTTTTGTAATTATAGTATTTTTAGCTATTAGTTTGTTGTAGAGGTAAGGGCCGCGATACGAGATGGAGAAACGTGATAGTTTTGTTTTTTTATATGGTACTTTAAAATTTCCTATTCCTCGAGTTTCATATTTATTTCTATTGCATTTAAAAAATTCTTCTGAAAAATGTAATGGGACAAGTCCGAGTTTATATTTGAGCATGAATATCAAATTTTGGTAAATGTTAATTTTGTAGACATTTAGTGCATTTAGAAGCTTTAGCAAAGGTTCGGCATGAGTAAATTTATCTTTATTAAATACTATTCTTGCAGCATGTTTTTGATGTCGATAAAGTGCCACTAGGTTGGATCTATGGGTACTTGCCCATGCTATATTACCATACGTATAATAGGTTTGAATGAAGGAGAAATAAAGTAGCTTTAAATTTTTTTGGGGTAGCATCGGTCTAGCTTTGTAAAGCATGCAAATGTTGTTTCTTATTTTGGTATTTAATAAGTTTATGTGAGCTTTCCATGAAATATTCTCATCGATAAGTATTCCTAAAAATTTTGTTGCTTTGGTTCTTTCGATAAATTTATTTTCTATTTTTAGAGACGGTAATGGAATTGGTATAGATTTTTTCCTTTGATTGGTGTGAAATAGAATGTAGTTGGTTTTTTCTGTACTCAATGATAATTTGTTAGATTTAAACCAAGTATTAAGTTTTTCAAGTTCAATACCTGCAGTTTCGAAGAGTTCTGCGATAGAAGTAGATGAATAAAATAAGTTTGTATCATCTGCAAACATTATGGCATCAAGTTTTTTTGAGACTTTTGGAAGATCATTGATGTATAGCAAGAAGAGTAGGGGAGCTAGAATGGAACCTTGGGGAACTCCGCATTTTGTTTTAAGTAATTTTGAATGGGTATTTTTATCCATAATAACTCATTGCTGTCTGTTTATAAGAAAGCTCTCAAACCAATGTAAAGCAACATTTTTAATGCCATATTTTTCCATTTTTTTAAGTAGTATAGCATGATCAACAGTATCGAATGCTTTCAATAGATCAATAAAGATTCCTAGAACAAATTTGTTATTATCAAAAGAGTCATTTATTTTATTTACAAGATCTATAACCGCATGTTTGGTTGAATGTTGTTTTTGAAATCCGATTTGTTTTTTATTCAAAATATTGTTAATAGTTAGGTGTTTATATAGTTTATTGTAAACTATTCGTTCTAGAAGTTTAGAAAAGACAGAAAGGATTGAGATGGGTCTGTAGTTATTAAGTGAGCATTGCTCTCCGGATTTAAATATTGGTACAACTTTTGCAATTTTTAATTTGTCTGGAACAGTTCCTGTTGTAATTGAAGATTTAAAAATTTCGAATATGGGTTTGCGTATCACCCTGAAGACACTTATTACTACGTTGCTAGAAATCTCATCAATCCCTGGTGCTTTGTTAATTTTTAGAGAATTTTTTGCAGCTTTGAGTTCATCATAGTCTAGTCCATTGAATTTTAGTTCGTTTTGTTGATTTGTAAGATAGGTTTCAAAATAGGTATTTGGGCATTGAATTTTGGACGCCATGTCAGGGTTAGGGTTAGGGTTAGGTTTAGGGTTATATGACAGTTTTTTGTTTTCATTTATTTAAATTTGTAGATAAAAATAGAAATATTTAATCATTATTCATCATATGACAGTTTTTTGTTTTCATTTATTTAAATTTGTAGATAAATATAGAAATAGTGAGGATTCTTATGAATGGTATGATAAAATAAAAAAACCATAGCAGATGCTTGTTTTGCTATGTTTGGTTTTGACATTGTATAGACTATTAAGACTGTTTTGATTAACCAAAAATGATTTGATTTTTTAGATTTATTTTTTCAAAACTTCTGATATATTTTTGAAGTACCATAATGTGAAAGTTTTGAACTATACTCTACATTTATTATTTATTTTTAATTGAGCATAAATTTAAAAATTTAAAGTATATTATTTAGGCATGCTTGTTAAGAATTAAAATTATTTGTATACTTATTAAATGTTAAGGCATCATGTTTACAGCCATTATGTTATAACCAAGCTAATTGTGTTGAAATTGGAGCAATAAATAGGGAGGTATAATTTAATTTATATTTTATTTCATTTACATAAAATAAAACATTGTGTTATGATTTTATTTAAAAACTCTTAACTACTTAACATAAACAGGTTTCATAATAAAGGCTTTTTTTTGGACATTATTTTTTTGTATAGAAGACCTTAGTAAATCAAACTATAGTGGTCTAATATCTTAGTGGTTATTTCTTTTCACTTTTTTAAACTTTTTTTGAAAAAGTTAAAACTCTTTTCTTTTTTCTTTTTTTTTCTTTATAAAGTTAAGGTATAAAATAAGCTTGTAGCTTAAACATCAACAATAAGTTGTTCTATAACTTTTTGCATCTTTTGTCTCTTACAATAAATATGTTGTTGCGTTATAAAACACGCAAAAATTTTAGCCAACTTCAAGCACTTAGCGGTCAGCAGTTATTTCAGCATTGCAGAATACCAACCAAGGGCTGTTTAAAACATGCTGAGAAAAAACAAAGCAGATAAAATATACTAAATGTATACTAAACAATAAGCAAGTCTTTTAGTCAAGTCTGCAATAAAGTGCAGCTAGATATTACTGTCAAAATAAAAGCTATTAATTATTATTTAATTATAATTCATTAGTTATATTTATAATTAATAATTTCATTAACTATTATTGCATCAATTAGAGCTTCATCAATGAAGTAATAATTATATAACCAAATCATTTTGTTATTTCACATGAAAAAGTTTAAAAATGATGCTTCAATGATGATGTAATTATTTACTACAAATAGATAATTTAATAGTTATTAACTACTTAAGTAAAACCTTGTTTTAAAGAAAAAATAAATACTACATAATTAATGATATACAAATTTTATCATGTTTGTATCATGTTTTTATGATTATATTACCATATTCTTAATAAATGAATCTTCATTTGATTTTTCTGATAAATAATTAATAACTTCTCCAACTATGGCAATTACTTCTCGACAGTACATGTCATCTGCATTATTTAAGATATTATCTAGTTTATTTATATTTAAGTCAAAAATTACTAACATTTACCAGTACTTAAATATTTGGTAATAATTTAAAAATTTTAAAGTGCTTTTGCTGTTTGATTAAGTTTTTATGTTAACTGGATAATAAGAATTCCAGTTTCTTTTTGTGACATTTACAGAAATAACAAGTGGTGGATGTTATATTCTATATGCCAAATACTGATTGTTTAAAATACTTTATAAATTACTTAGGGG